CCTTAAATCTCACTACATATGGTTGGTTTTCTTTTAATCTTGCTTGAATTTCCTCAGTTGATAATCCCCGACATCTATTGTCATATTTTGGAATCTCTCTAAGTCTTAATGCTTCTTTCCGAAGTAGCTTCAAACGACTTTCCGTACAAAAACATCTATAAGCTGTACCATTCTGGAAAAAACAACATAATTAACTATTGTTCTTTTCCCATGTAAAATGACCAAGCACACTTCAACCCATAACTTTTCACAGAAAATACAATTACAAATTATAATATGAAATACCTATTGCTCATATTATTTACACAGGGATGACAAATATTAGAAAAAGTTAGCTAAACTTGTTGATTTGTTCTAAACTGATCAAAGGTTTTACATTATTAAAACTTGACAATGAAATTACAATAAAATGTTCTATATGAAGACAAGGATGGCTTGTAGTCTTGTATAAGTCAGTTGGATAGAGCATTGTCCCTGTTAGCAAAAGGTTCTGGGTTTAAGCCCCATTCCTGAAGTTTCTTTTCACTCACTGGCTTTTTCACTTACAATTATGTTTCTTAGGAAGTTTATCTCAAATGGTTCATAATAAGTTTCTACATTGTTATTTCAAGTAATGATTAACAAAAATTTCTATAAAAATACATGAAACAATCCACATAAAAAAAACTTGATGAATGTGACTTAAATCTTGTTTAGTTTTGGTAGACCTTCTAATTGCCTAAATGTCATGGATAAAATCTATGATTGAACAAATATTTTATGCATTTGAGAGCCACTGTAAATGATTGGTCAGTTTAGAAACATTGCTAAATTGAAAAAACTTTGTATATTATAATTAAAGTTTCATATATTAACAGCTGTTGTATGTTTGGAATAAATTATTCATCAAATGTTAAGATACTTAAAATATAATTTCAAAAACATATATCAAATTCATAAGAAAAATAGAAAACACTATTTCATTTTCACCAAGACACTGAATATAGTTCCTATGCTAAAAGAACAATCATGAGAGGTACTATATTATTAATAATACACACAAAACATACTAAATGGACTTGTCTATACAAATGTTTTAGGACTAAGTTATCTACATGTTATATACTAAGTATAACTAAAATAAATTTTAAAAATATAATGCTATTTTGAATACAGTAAGATTTTTTTTACATTTATTGATTAGTAAAATATTAATCAAGTGATAATTAAAAAAATTAATAATACTGAAAAAAGTTGTGCAGAGCAATCACAAAGTTGATGGTAGAAAAACTGAAATACATTGCACTTAATATTTGGAAGACAGCTTGGTAGAGTTTATAATACAAGGCACAACTTTATATTCATTATTTATAAGCCTATTTTTCAGTTACAATATTCAAAACAGTCCTTTAAGGTCTCTACGCCTAAAAAATTTAATACAAAACAATATATTTCACAGCTGTATTAGCTCACATTTGTCCAGTTAGTTAATGATACAGAATGATACCTAAAGAAAGTTTACATGCATTTCAAAAGTTGAAGTCAACTTGTATGTTTCCTTTATAGATAAAAGTTAAAATTATTTAACATTGAAATAGCATAAATGTATATTAATAAAGAAAAAACAATAATACTGACATTAGGATAATGACTCATAATTTCAAGACTTATCAAAATCTAACAAATTTTGAAAACATTAAATAAAAAACTTAACTATGATAAATCAAAGTGACATAATCCTAATAAACCTGTATAGAAAGTTATTGTTTTACCAAAAGGGGTGTAGGGGGTTGCAAAACATTGAAAAAATTTTCCAGATGCTAATGGAATATCGTACTTCTCTTGAATTTCATAGAAATAGACTAAGAAAATATACTGAATATATTTCTGAAAATTACAGTATTAATCACTTCATAAAAATACAAACAACCAGACAAAGAACCTACAGAGCTGAAAACTATTTCCAAAAATTGCACAAATAACAGCACATTTATTTTTATAAAAATAAATATAAATAAACCGTACTTTGATTTGAATCAATCACAAACTCACCTCAAGAAGATCTTTAGCTTTCTCTTTATATAAACTCAGCCTTTGAGACTGAAAAAGATAAGTTTAAAATTTACATTAAAATAAAATTTGTGAGCAATTTCTCACTTTGTAGTTGAATAAATTATACAATGTAAAAGAAGTTTTATAAAACATTTGGTATTTATTATGGTTGGTATTAATGAAGGTCAGATGAACTCTCTGGATGATAGGGAGTTTGGATGACAGAATACTTGTGTAAATCTGTATTTTACTATGATCAAAATTGTATTATAAGCACTGAAATATTAATGAAAAAGTTTTAATTTAAACTGAAACTATTCAAAGCACTACAAGTAGCAAATGAATTGTATAATTCAAAATGACATCTCACTTTGTACACTTATAAGTTAACAGTACTTATAAAATGTTTTATTTTTAATTGATAAGTGGCCAGAATTCCAATTCACAAACAATGTTTGTTGTTGTTTTGTTTTTTTATAAGATGATATATATATATAATATGTATATTATTTGTAATGGTATGTAGCCATCTGAAAGTTTTAAACAACTGTCTTCTGACATCTTTACTCATGTTAGGAAAATTTCTTCTTTGCAATAGTTTTCCACCCATCAAAGTCATATAAGGGCATACTGTAACGAGTCTTTCGAAAAATACAGATGAGGAAACAGTTGACTGAATTAGAGAGAATGGTGATGTATGATAGAAGAAAAGTAAGAGCTATAGCAATTATTCATTCTAGTCATGTTGAAGTAGAATGTTCCTTTGCACCATGTCTTTAATATATGTAGCTGACTTTTACCACAAATCATGAAGGACTGCTTTTAATGTAGTAAACTAAAATTCTGCCAAAAGACATAAGCCTTTTAATTTATGTACAAATAATTGAGATTCCACTGAGGTATTCTCAGGATAAATGATTTCCTCAAAGAGTGTTTGGTATAGGTTCACTTAACAGAAGAACAAGCAGGATAAATTAAGAAGTCTGAATTTGACTAAACAAACACAGTTCAAGCAAGACAAACAGACCAGACATGATGTGGTATATGAAACAAAAATAATACACACTTAAACCTTTCGCTGCAGGCTCATGCAATTTGCAAAAATCAAGTCATGAATTTTACTTGTACAACAATACATGCGGTAACTCTGAGATTTCTTAATGTATCCATTCAAAAACTTGTAAGATTTTCTGAAAGATCATAAATATCTTGTACACAAAGAATGACATTATTATAATAAAGTGTTCTGCTAAATATATGATATTTTTTATTGCAGTTACTGTCATTCAAACTATTAACAAACTGAATGCACGGTGATTTTCATTTTAAGTATAAAAATACTTTTCTTTGTTTTATAGTTTCATATTTTATTTGCATAATTTCTAGAATCTCCTAAACGAACATCAAAAGTTTTTGAAAGTAAATGTTTATATTATATTTTTCATTTTCTCTACCATATCACTAACTAGTTATTATCATCAATGTCCAATGCAATGACATAATTAAAATAAGGAAACAGAAAAAAATGCATACAATTACATTTAAATTTTTTGTAGAATATCTTTAATGATTTTTCCTTTTGTTAAACTCGTAATATCAGGTCTTTTTCCTTTTCACATATAGTTAATTTTTAATGTTATTTTTTCCTTTCTTGTCCTTTACCACTTATTTATCTGAACAGAAACCAATGGTGCCCTCGAGGCATATTACACTTTCTTTGGGAGACATGCGCAATCAGGCAAAATTTTCGTTCAGCGAATAATATCGTAAGCCTTGAGAACAGATGCAAAGAATGATATATATATTTTTAAAATGTTCAATACCTGTTAATTATGCATTTTAAAACATAACTAATACATAATTATCTAAATTATAATAGTAAGACCTAAGTACAATTTAAACTGTTTCTCTAACTATGACATATTTAAGTAAGAAACAACCGTATGTGTTATGGTCGATCAAGTATCCAACAATACTAAATTACGTTATATGTAATCCGTGAAAACTGCATGCCAATTTCAAAATAACCATTATTAGATTATAGTGTAAAATGATCTCTTTCTAATGAATATACACATATATATGTAGCATCTACATGTAGACTATAAAGCTCAAACAAATCTGCTGAAGGTGTGCATGACACCTGTGAGGGGTTGAAAAAATTTATTACTTGTTACAACTGTATTCATTCAAAGAACTTTGAAATGAATGAGTCAAAAGGTTATGTAAGCAACTTATAGTCTAGATGTACCTCTACACAACTACCATTGTATTATTGAAGATGCAGAGAGTCAAAATAAAGAACTTTCATTGCTCGTTGGTCATGTGACAATACATCTGTACTTTTAGGGTTTATTTTCAAATAAAGGACTTAAAACCTGGATAAACATACATTATAATATTAATTTCATTCATATACATTGATAGTAAAGGTGTTTGATTAAATTTTTAATGTAAAACAGATACTTGAACAGAAAAGCATTTAAAAGGACTCCCATACAAAAGGGTTAATTCAATGGACAAACACAGTGTTAATACTTGCTTTCTGGACACTGGGCAGTCACCTGGTACTGAACTTTTGAATCAATCAACAGATTTTCTTCCCTCAAGATGCCTTACCATCAACTGACTCACTTGGGATCCTACATAGTAATTTTTAAATCTGACATTTCTTACTTAACAAGAGGCATCCACTTTACCCAGAACAACAATCACTACCCACATGACTGGTAATTCTCATTCAGTATAAGGTAAGCCACACCCTCTAGACATCATATGCTCTACAAGGGAAGGAGAATGCTGTCCTTGACCTTCTCGCACCTTCCTTGACCTTCTGTTACAGTAATACCCCACATTAGACGAGCAGGCATTACATCTAAAGGACAACAATGGAACAAAGGCAGTTAGAATGAAATCAACTTAAACGTTTGCTGGACCATGTGCAAAAACTTCATAGATTCATACTAAACAAAATTTTTTTTAAAAATGTACATTAGATTGAGAAGATAAGAAACAGTATGCCTGCATACCACACTCCCCGTCTCCTATGTTTCAGGCTTGTCCTCAAGCTGAAAATTAAATTTAACTTTAGAACCAAGTAATATTGCATTAGCAATATGAACATGATCAAGAAGTACTTTAACATTCTCTCATCCCTGTAAGTGTTTTCACATGTAATGTAGATGATATAACCCTTAAATAAAGAACTGAAACTCAAACAGCAAATACCATGAATCATTTAATTATCATTTAAAAATAATATAATATACAATGAAGAAAAAGGAAACCCTATTTGCACCTTAGTAAGAAAAACCAACTAAATTATAGTAGTTTTGGGATATTTTATTCTAATGTATGGTGTATTTTTGTGAAGACCCAAATGTGTGGAATTCACTGGGGCAGTTACACTGCAAGTACAAAGAACACTTGGTGTCTACATAAAGTTTACAAAAAATAGCTTATGGGCTCGCATGTGTGATTTATTAATCTCAACAGAGCAATTCTAGGTCGGTTCATATCAACCAATTTCATAATGAAAATGCTAAGATGATCAAATGTATAGCAAAACTTAAAACACAAAAATAAGCACTTTAAACGATGAAAATTGCATAAGAATAAACCTATACAGCCTTTTTCAATTAACAAAAAAATTTATATAAAATTTACAATATAACTCAAAGAAATAAATGCAAAAATTCACAAGTTACTCAAAGTCAATGCAAGGTTCTGCTCCCTCTCACCTTATCCTCACCAGCAGATTCTCCAGGTTGCCATTGTTTTATAATTGGCTGCAGTGGTGGTTCGTAGATCATCTCTAGCTTTCGCTAGGGCCCTCTTGATCAATGTTCACTCTAATTTTTTCAATCTATGTCAGGAATGAATCTTTTTTTTTATGTGCACCAGTATTGATGCAATGTGCGGATGTGCACTACCAGATTTTATTAAGAGGAGGGGAATATTTCTAGACCATCAACCCTATTAAATCATTAGGCCACTTTGCAATGCTACCAGATGGTTATTTGGGATTTAGGCCTATCAGCTGCTAGAATCATTAAGGCCATCAACTTGTTGAGACTCATCATTACTGAGGATGTGCGTGGCTAGAATAATTAAGTGCACAGAACTTGATTGGTTGTTGTGCAGCCACAAAGCTTAGAGGGAACACTGCTTTTGGTGTTCAACAGCCTGGCCCCCAGGCAGCTGATCTTCCTGTCTGTTATAGAGAGCCCAAGACTCAATCCAGTCAGCAGCCATCTCTTGGCAGAGTCTCCTATACACTGGTATGGTCAGGAATTCCTCCCTTGACAGTCTCTGGGTGTGTACTTAGGGTTGCTTGGATTTTGGTACTTCATCTTGTCTAAACATTTGGCAGTCCTGCTGCTAATGTCAAAGATCTTTCAGTGGCTGCATAATCCTAGTGCAGTGGTGGCAGATACAACCAATAAGAGGATATAAATTCCAGAATAAGTTGGTTAGGCTCAGGGGTGTAGTACTCCTGCCAAAGGCACCCACACATCTGATAATGCTGATATAACGCCACATTTCACACTCTGATGGGACATTTACTAGTGGGTCTCACTTCTTCCTTTTCAGTGGTATTAATAAGAGAAACATGTACACCCACTGGATCACTTGGAGACTCAGCTACTTTGAGGTCAATAAATTGGTCATTGACATTGTTCCCTCTGGTACCAGTTTGTTCAGTGGAGGTCTGATTTCTGCTGATGAGGGCTGCCGAGTCCCTGGAGACTTCATAGCCATAACAACTAGAGATGCTGCAAGCTCTCCCATGTATGATACATCAGCCAGTAATGCATCTTCATTCATTGGTTCAGCTGCAGTGAACATTAAAACAGATCCTACAGTCCTAGGCTCAACAACATAGACTTCTCCTACACTGTAGTAGAGGTCTTGGATATACTCGTTCTATTTTGTAGCAGTCTCAGGTTAAAATACTTTCCTCAAAGAGTGTTAGGTAATGTTATAAAGGGAGAATCAACAGGATAAATTATGAAGTAAGTCTTAATTTAACTAGCCTGAGTTGAATA